GCGGGGGGGCCTCTCGGTCTCCACAGCCACAAAAGAGGCGCGGCGCTGCAAGTCCCGGTCCAGGAAGAGCAGCACCGGCGTGGGCACCACCCGCCCCGCGGAGTCTGCCGCCAGCACCCAGTCTCCGCGATGCAGTTCCCGCAGCCCCTTCCGCTCGCCACTCCGCAGGCGCACGGTGGCATTTCCCGGAAAGCAGCCGCCCGCCCTGACCGCCAGGGAGTTATCTGCAGGGAACAAGCGTAGAGAGGATTAGATGAAGTCCAGTGGTTCCAGAATGTTAGCCCAGATTCTTAAAGACGTGGTCAAGCCCAGCGCAGACCTCAGCAGTCCCGGGACAACTGCAATTTCCCAGGGACCTGGCCTCAACCTGGGCAGAAACGGAAGGGTGGTTTATAACACTAACAGCCACCTTGGTCTCCCCTAGACTCAGTTTCCCTTTGGGCGGGCCTCACCACCCCCCCCACACACACACACACACTGTACCGGCTTTGACCGACACGTGGACGTGGTTGCGGGACTCGTAGTACACCCAGTCGAAGCCGGCTTCCACGGCCAGGCGCGCCAGCAACCCATACTTGTTGCGGTCGCGGTCAGACGTGGTGATGTCCAAGGCACGGCCTTCGTAGTGGAGCGAGTCCTGAGCGTGGTGGCCGTCCTCATCCCAGCCCTCCGTCACCCGTAGGCGCACTCCCGGCCACATGTTCATCACAGCAATGGCCAGCGCGTTCACTCGCTCCTTACATCGCTGTCGGGAATGAAGGAGTCAGTCTCCCCGTGACCACTACCACCACCTTGGGGGCAAAAGCGACTTGAATGGGAGGGTAGATGCTTCTGCCTCCAGTCCCCACCCCATTCCCTCTCCGCTGTTGAGTGCCCTGGGCAAGTGAGGACCTGCATAGGTGTAGTCGCCTATCGGCACGCCCTTTTCAAAGCATCGTTGGACAATTGTGGGGTCACGTCTGAGTCTGAGACAGGAGGCACCTCTATCTAGCTCGTTCCCTATTTTTAATGTTGGCTCCTCACCCCAACTCATTCTGGGAGAAAGCAAGGTTTAGAGGGCGGGTGGCAGCTCGGTCAGGGAGGGGTGGAACAGCCTGACTCCCCGAGAGGAGCTCCTGTGTGCTGGCCCCCACCGCAAGCCCCGGCTGCCCTCCCTCCGCCTGATTCATCTTTTGTTTCGTTGCCTTCCCTGGCACCGGGCATCGCTTCCTTCCTTCCTTCCTCCTCCTCCTCCTTTCGGCCCCTAGCATTAACCCCTTCCTAGTGCGACTGCCCCCCACAGAGGTGCCCTAGCGGAGCCGTGCGGGATCAAGGCTGCTGGAAAAAGGGTTGGGGTGGCGGGGGCTGCACGAAGTACAATGGCCATTCTCCGGGATGACTTAACCAAGCGAGAATCCCGGGCTGAGGCCGGGGACCCGCCGGGAGAAGCGGACTCAGCAGCTCCATCCACAAAGGCGCTTTTCAGCCACCCCGGCTCAGGGAGAGGAAAGGGCAGAAAGCCGCGCCCCCTATCCCTGCTCCGCCGGTCAGTCCCCTCCCCCAGCGCGGCCCGACCTCCGGGTTCCAGCTTAGGCTCTGCCAGCGCTGAAAGCTGCCATCTCTCCACCTCTGGTCCAGATGCAGCCCAGTGAGGCGTGGGAGTAGCACCTGAGAATAGCCGGAGCCGCCCTCGTGTGGATCTGGGGGGCCCCCTGCAGGGTGGGAGTGGAGAGGAGGAAAAGCAGCAGCGGCTGGAAGCCTGCGCCCGGGGGAGTGAGACCGCGGTTATCTTGGCCGCTCCATTCTGGGAGCCGGAGACCTTGGCGCGCACCATGGCACGGACCCGGCGGGAGGAGGCGCAGAGAGGACAGCTTCCTTTTCTTCTCTCCGACCTCTCACCTTGGACTTGGCTTTCTCCTAACTGCCAGAGGGACACTTTCCCCCTGCCCTTCTTGCTGAGTCTTCTACACCTCCGCAGGGTTGGAGAGGAGGGGAGGGGAAAGACAGGAAAAGTGGTAACTCCTTCCAACTTTTTGTCGTTTTGTCCCTTAAGGAGGCCCGAGGCCTTGACCTGCGGGGGCAGCAGCCCAGTGCAGAACCAACTCAATGGAGGCCTTTTGCAGCCAGGGTGTGGGAGATAAGCAGGACCCAAAGGGTTCCCAAGCCTGTCAGAGCCCCTCCCCGGTCTGTCCCTTATTCTGCCCACTCTGCTGCAGGTGGCAGCCAGAGGAAGCATTCCATGACCAAGAAGGAAAGGAGCGACCCTTCCCAATCTCTGGGTGAAAGAAGGGATTCTTTCTCCCCTAGACAGGTTTTCCTAACAAAGTAACCTGGAAAACTATTGCAATTAATCAGAGGAAATCCGTACCCCTCCCTCTCCCCCCACCTCCCCACTCCATACACAATTAGGTGGTGTAATGGAAAGTGTATAGGACTTAGAATCAGGAGTCCTGAATTCTAGTCCCAGCCATGTCACTAATTAGTTTTAAGACTTTGATTAAATCACTTTTCCTCCTGGGGCCTAGCTCTCACTGTAAAATGGGAGGTGGGGTGATGGTGGAAGAATGTGACCTCCAAATTTCCTCCCGTTCCAACATTTGAGATCATTGGCCAGAGGTGGGCCTTCTCTCCCAAAGCATTACTCACCTCACCCTAGGTTGGTTAAGTTCTGATCTGCCCCAGATGCTCAATACATGGTAGTTGAGTTTATATTATTTTGTAAATTCCAACAAAAGCCCCTGAAATAAACTGGGCTTGAGGGACACGGAAACCCTGTGATTCTCAGGTGGGTCCCTCTGTTCTTCTGATTGAGTACTGCTTTTCACAAGACAGTCGTTTAGACTCTGGAATGACCTTGCCCCAGTTCTAAGATGCCTCCCCCATGCCAAAGACAGTTCCCACCCGGCCCCTCCTTCAGGTAGATGGCCCGGTGACCTGACTCTTGGCCACCCTTTCTCAGCCTCCTTCAGTCTTCTTGGCTCACAGAGATTTTCCAAAATCAGGTCAGAAGCCAGGCTAAGGGCATAGCTTTCTGTCTACTGCCTAGCCAGCTCCTGGCCCCCAGCTCACCCCAGCCCTTCCTGCCTGGCTCGGTAGCTGACCCCCGGTCCACGCCTCAGCCATTTCCCGTCTCGCCTGCCGCCATCCCCCTTTCCCCGCCCTCGCCTTCGAAGTCTCTCCCAGCTTCACTCTCACTAGTCCCTCCTTCCTCTCCCCATCCAAGTCTCTCCCAGTTTGGATCTCTCCTGATCACTCCCTCCAGCCAGCAGCAGTTTTATTTTGGGGAGGAGTGGGGTGAAGGAAGGTCTTTGAGATTAAGGTTTCTAGAGATGAAGCCCAGTTCACCCACCGGGGCTGCAATAGGAAAGTAGAGAAGTTGGCAGGGCCCTGGCGCAGGTGAGGAGAGGCCCACCTTACCTCGGTCATCAGGCGGTCTGCGCCACTGTTCTCCTCATCTTTGAAGATGATGTCAGGATTGTAGTTGGGCACCAGGTCCCGGAAGCGCTCGGAGCCCCTGGCAACCCTACCTTCGGCTGGCCCACTGGCGCCCAGGGTCCGTTCGGGCACGCTGGGCACAAATTGCTTGTAGAGCAGCGGCACAAGCTGCTTGCGCACGTAGCGGCGCCGGCCAACCGGCCCCCGGCCCGGGCCGCAGCTCTGGGCTGGCAGCGTCAGAAGTGCCAAGCAGCACAGGAGCACCAGACTGGCCAGCAGCGCCATGGATGCAGCGGACTCGGGCCAAAAGGGAACGTTCTTATCCTTACCAGCTCGCCTGGCAGTTGGGCATTCCCCGGCACCAGAGAGCGCAGCAGGCAGAACTGCCCCCAGAGTGCCCTAGAGCTCTTGCGGCTCCACGCACCTGGCTGCCGCTACTCTGCCTACATCCCCGCGGGGGTTCTGTAACCTGCTACAGGCGGGCCATCATAGCAGGGAAGTGGGGTCGTGGGTGACTGCCAGCTCAGCCTGGTTCTGTCGCCAGGCTCCGGCGCTGCCACAATGCCCGGGCTCCGCCTTAAGTGGCCCCTGGCCCCGCCCCCCGCCCAGGACCGGCCCGCCCCCTACCACCAGGGCGGGGGCTCTAGCCGGTCACCACGGGTCCAGTTTGAGACTGAGGTGTGTCCCATCCTGGAAACCAGGTAGTTACTTGCCTAGGAAACCCTAACAGCTTTGGCTGTCGGGTGGAGCATCCTTCTACCTCCCAGTCTGCGCTTGGTACCAAACCATCCTCCTCTGATATTTGAACTGGATCTTTGCTCTACTAAAGCCTACCCTGGCAGGCCATGTCCTCTACTACTATCCAGAAATATTGGTTCCAGTTCCTGCCCAAAGTCAACCATGCTCTTTGGGCATACAACCAGAGCCGCCCTTGCCTCTCCGTGGTCTTCCCCAAACCTCTGCCATTTCCATCTCTTCTGCTGGGAGTTTTCCCTAGAGTCAGCAACAGAGCTTCAAGTTATAGTCTACTTTAGGACTTCAAAATTTGGCCCCTCTTTTGTCCTTGCTAGACACCCAACTTTTTTTTAAATGAATAACTTGTCAATTGGAAGTTGCTGGAGGGCAGTGGCTACTTTAACTCTCTAACTGGTTTCCTTTCACCTTTCATCTAGCCACCTCTAGCTTCTTCCTCTCTGGAGCCCCCTGCGGCTCTGCTTCCAGTCACTCAGATTTATCCCAGAGGCTTTGAGCCTGCTACACGTCACCCACCAATCTACTCTCCTTTAGAAATCACTTTCTCTAAGAAGCCTTTTCTGATGCCTTGACACTGACCACCTCTATTTCCTGGAAAACCAGTAATTAACTGCCATTTATTGTGGTTCAGTGTTAGAATTATCTGTCACCCTTACTAGAAAAAGCAATTAAGCACAAACTTATTTATCATGTAACCCCATGGTTAAGTGCCTGGCCTATAGTAGAGTGCTCAGCAAATATTCATGGCATGGAAACTATACTGTTTTTTGTGGGTTTGTTTGTTTGTTTGTTTTTGTATTCCATGTTCACTCCTCATGCAGCTCCATAGCTAGCTCTTATAGGCACCTTTGTGTACATTAAAAAAAAAAGCACCCCTTCCTCAATACACCTGCCATTTGCAAGAAAATAGTCATAACTATACATTAAGACTATGAGGTGAGTGGTGCCCCTAAATGTTGTTCAATGCAACATATACATAACATACATAACCCCGAGCAGAAACTTTGTCCCTAGCCCCAACATGGCAGGGGGCTTGCATAGGACTTACAGCACTGATAGCCTCTGGAAAGATGGAGTTAGGTTCTTCTCTGAGGTAGATCACAGACCTTTGTTAGCTAGCCACTTCTTTTATTCCACATCCAACAGTCAAATCAGGGAGGACAGGGCTGTGTGTGTGTGTGTGTGTGTGTGTGTGTGTGTATACAAGGGGATCTTATCCTATTCCTACACCCATGCCTACCTACCCCCAATAACCAAGGCACATAAACAAGGTCATGAGTATAAGGAGAGTCAGGAGACCAGCCAGCTTTAGGCTAAGGGAGAGGAGCTCCCAAGTGCCTAATTGTGTGGCCTAACACCAGACCCAAGTCCTCAAAGAACACTAAGAATGCAGACGGAGGGGAAGAGAAAGGATGGTGGACAGAACCCTTCTGTTTCTCTCAGTTGAAAGACTCAGGACTTGGGGGGAGAGCAAGGCTATTCAAATAAACACAGAGAGAGCCTTTTAAAAAAAACCAAAGCAAACCCTGGGATCAACTTTATTGCTGATGGTTGTGGCCTTTTCTTTCCCACATCCTCACCTCCCTGGTGGTCCAAAGTCCCTCCAGGATAACACAGTGCTTAGGTTCTTCTGGACCAGAGGCAAAGGGAGACAATCTGCCCCCCACATCTGCCCCTGCTCGGTCCCTCCCCTGTCCCCACCCAACCCTATTGCACATCAAATCATGTAAACATGGCTACAGGCATGGCCTGGAATAGCAGTGAGGCAGATTGATGTGTTAACGGATTTGGGACCAGGAGCCAGACCCAAGTCACCCAGTCCTACCCCATGCTAAGGCCCACAGTTAAATCTGGAAAAACAAGGGGGCCTGGTCCCAAACTCTGGCTCAGATTATGCAACAGTGCAGATGGCTCAGCTCCCCTCTGCCACCCACCCCTCTCAGATTCCAGGTCTTAAGGATCACCCACTCCTGGTGTCGCTTCAGGACTGGGTAGCAGATGGCAGTGTCCAGTTTTTTCCCTCTCACCCCCAACTAGAGGTCACTGGTGTTGGGTCTTCCTAGATGCCCTGGGGAAACCAGAGACAGGCAATGGCAGTCTGTCCAGTCCTGGAAAAGAGGGAAGGCGGACAGTCAAAAGTAGGACATATGTCCAGACCTCTGGGATAAGACAACCAAACCACAAAATGGATGGATGAAGCATGTTACAAGTAAAGCAGAAAGCCTGCCATCTCCCTTGCTGGAAAGACCACTGTTCCAGAGGGCTCCACCCCACCAGCCTGTGACTCCCACTCCTTCTCACCAAAAGCCCGGATCAGCTCTGCCCGAACAGCTGCGGTGAAGGTCTTCACCAGACAGAGAGTGGTGAGGCCCGCAAAGATTGCATTGTAGAGGAACACGATGTAAAAATTGCCCAGCCAGTTGAAGCGTCCAAAATCACCCAGCAGGTCAAAGCGAGTGAGTCCTGAAATACAAAGACCAGGATAGAAGGTGGGCATCCCAGCCCCTCCCTGGCTCAGAGCCCAGCTTTCTGCTGCCTCCTGGTGGCCACATCTTAACACTGCAACTGATAAGTTGGCCTATTATTTGAGTGGGGGGGGATTTTTAAAAAAATAATTCTTTATTGTTGATAGTATTACATATGTCCCGCCTTTCCCCCCCATTGACCCCTTCCAGCCCACCCCCATCCCCGCCATCCCCGCC